CCAAAAGTTTGGCCAAGTTGTGAGTTGTGAGTACTCTCAAGTCTCAATCTTGCATTTCGTAGCCTCTTGTGGATTTCGAAATTGCAGAAGACACAAAAAGCTTTATAAAAAGAGTGTGTGTCATCTTCATATAATGAGTAAGGGCGTGCTTGTTTATGAAATATTTCATTCAAAATGAGTTATTTTAGTTAACTAGAGTTAATTTTGAAAAAGGTAATATGGTTAATTGTTAGTGGGATTTTAAGAATGTATTAAAATAATATTTAAAATAAAATGATTAAAATTGATTTGATGTAAAAGTAAGAGATAAATGATTGGAAATGATTAGAAATGATAGGTAGTTAAAATTATGTGAGTGGATGAATAGTGAATTAAAGTTGATGTGATGTGTAAAAATGATTGGTTTGTATTATTTAATTATATAAATAATATTAAAGATAATGGAGTTATGTTAAAGTTGAGTTAAATTTTGAGTATGAATTGGATTGAAAATGAAATAATTTGTAAACAAGCATGCCCTAAAGTCTCCGCATCGTATCATGAAATTACATTTTCTAAGTTTAATATGTTTGTATACACTGAATAAGTGTATATTTTGTCCCCATGCTTCGTCTTATCGTAGTATAAATGCTATTTCTCGGTCTATTATAAACTATTAATGATAACTTACTGCATAACCAACCAAAATCATTCTAATAATGATTAAGAAAATATACCCAAAATTTCCGGCGTCAGTGGTATTTTCCCACTTTATGCTTTGGCAACACAAATTCTTATGCGTGTAAGTTTAAACATCATATCGATTGATCTGTCATTTTTTTTGTAATAAAATTAAAGTACTTATATTATCAAATGTTTATATTTTAATTTATATTATTGTATATATGAAAAAGTATTGGTTAGACACCATCTGAAAAAGTATTTTAATTTATATTATTGTATATATTTTAATTTTAATTTATATCATTTTAATTTATTCTGATAAAATTGTATATATATGAAAAAGTATGATAGTCAGATGGTGTATTGGTTAGACACACTTGATACAAGACTTTAATTTTTGAACATGGATGTAAGAAAGTATTTTCTACATTGCTTTAATTTTTGATGTAAGAAAGTAAGGGGCCACTATATACTTCAATCTGTTCACCCGTCATTTATGTTAAAAAAAAAAATAATACAACACAACTAACAAGGAGAATTTTATTTGGCAGACAGATCAGATTTAGACATATCAAACAAAACTTATCCACTTATATAATGCTTGCCAGGGTGGAAAAAAACAAGTTTTTCTAACTAGTGGTTGAGTAGAATAATTTGTGAATATATATATACATATTTATATTTTTATGTGTTATACTTAAAAATATAATATCCATATCTACATAAAGAGAGGCCAAAAATTAATGCAAATAATTTTCATTTGATGTTTATTTTACATCAAACTTGAAAATTATTTGCATTAAACAAAAAACAAAAAAAATAAAAGTCGAGCTTTCACTATTTACTTTAAGTCAACTAAATCATTTTAAATCAATAAAGAGATGCCCATCATTCAACCCATCTTTTTTCTCCCTCCTACCTCTCCTTTTATCTCTCTTTCCCCATTTTCAATTTTCCTTAAAACATATTTATTTATTTTCATTCTAATTCACTTCCTGATGTGAAAACCACGTTTCTAGCTGTAAGAAGAATCTGAAAGAAAGAGAGAAAAAAAAAAACCACCACTTTGTACCCACGGAAATTATCTTTTCTGGCATACATGTTAGTATGTGCATCTCAATCTCTGTCACTTCTTTTCTTCACTGGTAAGAAGATCGAGAGCGTGGAGCCAATGCTGATGTCGGTCTCAAAATTTGTGACAAACCGCTGAACAAATCTGTAAGATCCTGTAAGACCCACCTCAAAATTTATCTTTTTGCTCAACAAAAAAATTGAATCCTTCTTTTTTTGCCTAAATGTGGTATCTTTAGACAGATCCAAGTGAAGTTCTACAATCAATGTCGAGGAAAGGTCACAGAGGGCCGATAATGGAGGGTTTGATGGGCCCCACCAAGATCCGGAAGAGGGGCTGCTCGTCCTCTTCATCTTCGTCGTCGAGAGTCTACAATTACAGACTGAACAAGCGGGCCATAATGGCGGGCAAGAATCGGGCCGGGCTAGCGATCGGGCTTGGAAGATCTAGATCCACTACCCCTGTGCCGACGTGGAGAACCACGCCTCTTAAGGCCGCCGTTGAGTCTCCCAGGTACTCTCAGAGCGGGAAATCGACTCAGCCCGTCTCGGCCCGTAGGCTGGCGGCCACGCTGTGGGAGATGAATGAAGATCTGACGCCGAAAACGAGCGAGAGTGGTCTGAGTGTTTTGAAGGGACTTCAGAAGAAAAGTGGGAGTAAAATGGTTTTCAAGAGAGAGAAAATGCAGTCCGGGTGGGGCTTGCATTCGGGCTCGGGTGCATTGCCTCCACATTTGTCAGATCCGTCTCACAGCCCGACTGCTTCTGAGGTTTGGTGATTATCTCATTTTTGGCTCTGTATTATCCTAATTTCGTTTCATTTGATGAGATTTCAGTTATGATGTTTTGTTCGATGATCCCCTTGTATGAATTAATGTTTGGGTCTGAGTTGGAACAATTTTCAGTATTTGAAAATGCTATGGCCATGATCTGCACAATCTTTTTTTCTGGAAATCTGATTTTGATTGCTTTAAGGGTGGAAATTCCAGTCTTCCATAACTTTTCTACTCAAGTGGAGATTGATAATTGCAGATAACAAGGTTGTTTGGTTCGGTCCTGTCCTGTTTATCAACCCTTGCACTTGGTACTGTATTTTAGTTGGTGAAGGAAATGTGTCTGTTGTGTAGGATTTTGCTTTGATATCAATTAGGCCATGTATTCTGTAGAAACCTGATAACTGACATGATCGAAATACATGTCATTTCACCATTGATTTCCATCTTTAAAGAAAGTAATAATGCTTGAAGATTTGTAGATAACCCGAATTAATTTTCTTACATTTTATAACTTTCTTGTCTATGTTTATTTGTACGTAGCATTATGATTTTTCCATTGAGAGTGATCTAAAAGATCTTCTTCTTCTGGGTATTGCAGAAAATGGATAGATCAGGTACAGGCAGTCATCGAAGAAGATCACCATCAATTTCTCACCGCCTCATGATGGCTGATCAAAATGTTCGACCTATTGACTCCATTAGCAATGCTAGTCTGATGGAGGTAAAATTAATTTTAATTTTAATGCAGATTTTACTTCTATCTATCGTTCTTTCCTTTTTCCCCATCTTAGTAGCCAAAACCATGCCCTTCTCAAAATCTTGAAATCCCTTGATGGAGTTTTAGCACACACACTTTGAAAAAAAAAAGTGATCTTTAGCTTTTGGCTGTGGAAAACAAATAGTTATAATGTTTGAAAAGTGCCTGAAAAATAATTCTTTGCACTTCAATGAACTCTTTCGACATTTTATCTTTCAAAAAAACACACTTCATAAAACCACATCTTACACATACCGAAACTGCAGATCGAGACCCGTTCCCGGCCCCCAACATCGACTAGCCGCCTGAAGGACGCAACCAATGCCCTCACCACCTCCAAGGAGCTCCTCAAGATCATCAGCCGCATGTGGGCCCGCGCAGGCCCACCATCGTCCAGCGGGCCCCTCATCTCTGCCCTCCACGCGGAGCTCGAGCGGGCCCGCCTCCAAGTCAACCACCTCATCCAAGACCACCAGCAAAGGCCCGGCCCAAACGAGACCGACCACCTCATCAACCTCTTAACAGAAGAAAAGGCCTCGCGGAAAAAAAGAGAGCAGCAAGCCGTCGAGGCCGTCGTGGCCGAGCTCGACGCCGAGCGGAAGCTCCGGCGGCGGCTCGAGAGCCTGAACAAGAAGCTCGGGAAGGAGCTCTCGGAAGTCAAATCCTCCTTCTTGAAAGCGGTCAAGGAACTGGAAAACGAGAAACGGGCCCGGGAGAAAACCGACGAGGTGTGCGATGAGCTGGCGAGGAACATCGAGGAGGTCGAGAAGGAGCGGGAGATGCTCGAGCTTGCCGACAAGCTGCGGGAGGAAAGGGTGCAGATGAAGTTGACCGAGGCCAAGCACCAATTCGAGGAGAAAAATTCGGCTGTGAGCAAATTGAGGAGACAGCTCGAAGTTTTCCTTCACACGAAAAGGGATGAAATTGTCGAGGATGGGTCGGAGGTGAGCGATATCAACCGGGCCCACGTAAATAAAGGGACTGATAAGGTCAAAAAGGGTAGAAGCTCGAGGAGAGGCGTTAGTCTACAGAGGAGTGCGTCGGATGGGGAGTTTCTTGATAGGGAGCCGAAGATGGAAAAACCGAGGAGTAGCTATTTTGACGAAAGGCAGAGGTATTCGGGGGTTTGTTCCAGGCTGGCGGAGGAATCTTGGCCGTCGAGGGATCCGTTTGGTGGTACGGTTGAGGATGAAGATGGTGTGGTTCAGACGAAAGGTTCGAAGTCGAGAGCAGGTGTTGTGAGGAGGTCTAAATGGTGATGAAGGTGAGGGGTTATTAGAGGTTTATTGTTGTGAATGTTTAACATCTTGTTGATTTTTATGATCTCATTCTATGGCCCCCAGTTTGTTGTGTGCTAATCTATTTGGGAACTAATTTGTTCTGTTCTTTATATCTTTCCTTTTTAAAAGTGGAATTTTGAGTGAAATTTGGCAGTTTGTTTGTATAAAGTTTATGAAGGGTTTTAGTGAAATGGTTTGTTGTACAAAGAAAGAATATGGTGTGGTCAGATTAGACATGAAGTAAGCTTCACTCACTGTTATGTTTGGTGTTATTTATTTTGTTTTGCCTTTTTATTAATTCTATAGTATGGGGCATGGAGCAACCATCCTTTGATTTTGTTGAGGACAGAATCTTTTGTTCCTCGTGTTTCATTTTATTGAATGAATGACACATTTNAACAGGAAAATGATATTTTCAATTTTTATAATATAAACTAAAAACTAAAAATTACAATGGTCTTAAAGTGAAAAGATAATAAGTCGAGATGAGAGTTGCTCTTTCTGTAAGATGAATACGTTTTGTAATGCGTTGATAGATTCATGTGTCTTATCCCTAAAGAGACAACTGGTACGTATCAAAAGTTTTAGCACTTTAATTCTTTGAGCCCCGGGAACTTGAACGAAGTTGAGTATTGAGCAAAATATATTATGATGCGTGAAGCTTTTCAGACGAGTATGCAGATAATGTTATGTCTTACGCTTTTGCAGCTCTAAACATGTCCTATATATGTCTTGTGTTTCTGCAACTCTAAACAAGTCCTATATAGGACTTCTACCCACCTGGTCAAACAACCAGTAATGGCCTATAACACTCAATTAATGGTTGTTGTAATGAGTTCAAAATGGTAAGGTCGATTTCAGGTCTTAATACACCACCACTCACTAGATCACTTCTCAAACGATCGGGTAGACCATCATGTCCAGATACAATGTATATGATGAAGGTCATACGAGGTGGATGTAAACCCGGTCCAAAACCCAGCTCAATTCGGGTCGGAATTTTGCTAATATTTTTGCAACAAAAAGAACATAGTAGTTGGGCCTAAGGCTCAAACCCAATACCAGCCCGAGCCGCAAGTCTAGCCCACAATGCAATTGCCAAGTACTAAGGATCGAATTCCAAGATTCAAGGCCACTGCCAAGGCGCATGCTTGTGTATAGACATGGCCATGGGCCAACCCGGCCCGTCGGTCCTGATTTCACCGGTTCGTTGAACCGGAACCTTAGCCATGCGGGGCGGTTCCGGTTCTTAGTTTTTATTTTTTCGGTCCCACCAGTCCGGGCCGGGCCGCGGGTTCAAAGACGGGCCACGCTGTATTTTTTGTTTTATGGGCCTCACTGGCCTGGAACCGGCAGAAAACCGACGGATCCGTGACCCGACGGTTCAGGGCCGCTCCAAACTCGCGGCCCTTAGAAAATGCCAGGTCGATCAAGGGCCATGAAGTTGAGACCCGGCGGGCCGGGCTGGGTCGTGACCCGACCCGTTGACTGGCCACCTCTACTTGTGTACATGCCCATGCCCAAGCCAAGCCAAGCTGAGCTGACCCGGCTGGCCGACCACCGGGCATGGGCGGGCGCTTATGTGGCCGAAGCCAACATCAACACTTGAAAATTAACTTTACGTTCTCATTAATGCTAACACTAACCATTTTATTCTCACTCACGCGAAATCAGTTTTGAGAATATAAATATACCATGAGTATCTACTTGAGATGCGTAATTTTTTTACAAATTTAATGTAACCCGAATTAAGTATTTAGGCATAAAAAATTAGTCAAAATTGGGTCAAACCCAATTTGATTTATCTAATTTTCTAACAATCCCCAACATGAGTTGAAATCATATATATATATATATGTGTGTGTGTGTGTGTAGATTCTTGTGTTCAATCATCACAAGACTTTATTGCATTTGAAAAGTATCTCGTGGCTTTGAACATTTATTGGTAAACATCATTAGATGTACTGGCGACTTAGTGGACATAATACCTTGAATTGTTTTTTGTACACCAAGACAATGACATTTCACATAATAGAGTCTTAACTCCATTCCATACTATTGTTTTCTCCATTTTCGCCTTGAACAACACTTTGAATTCATAAATATTTACATTTCAAAAGACTCTTGCTTTACACTTATATAGGTGATCTCTCTCTATCAATAGTATCTTGTATTACTCCACCTTTAAAAGATTAGATATTCATTAAAAGTTCAGAGCACTTACCCTCACCACAATCAACAGATAATCTCGCACTTGGATTGAAGCCGGGGTAAAACTAAGTGGAGCTCTGAAACAATGATGAATTTTAATATTTTATACCAAGTAATCGAGTACCTTGATGATTTTTGATATTTTCTACTAGATAATCTAGTACTCTTGCGCATGAACATAAATAGTTTTATTCTTAATTTGTTAACTTGAACCGCAACAATGATGACTTTTTAATTTTTTCTACTAGGTAATCTGGTACCCTTACGCATGAAGATAAATAGGTTATTCTTTGTTAACTTGAATTGAAACTAAAATAGATATTTTTTGTTTCTTGCTCATGTATTTGAAATGTTGATGTATAATAAGAGTTAAATTACTTGGAGAATGCCTTTTGTATATATCAAAAAGATGATATCACCGCGCACGTCTAAAATTTTGCGCAATTAACAATGTGCCACCTTAATTTTTGTTAAAAAAATATCTATGTATATCAAAGGAGGTTGGTGTTTAATTCAAAAGTGGAAAGTTGACTTTTTTTTTTATTTACATAATTTGACTTACTTATAAAGGCAATTTTTTTAATGAAATTTAAAATTATTATCTTATCCTTTTTTGCGTGAAATTTAGTTTTAAAAATTATATACTTAAATATTGTCTTACTTTTTTTTTGCTTAACATGCACTTAAAATTGTAAGTCAAAATACTGTCAACTTCTTTAAAACAATTATGTATTCTATTTTCTTGAAAACATTTACATATCAATAAATATGTTTTTAATGTTTTACTCATGAAATTTTCATAATGTTTAAGTAATGATATCTGCTAATTTTTTACAATTAAAATTATGATATAAGCTATCCAAGCTTAAAATATTTATGGTAAAAAAATTGATTTGATAACTTGATAGATAACTACTATTTATATACACTACAAGAAAATGATGAAATTCCAACGGAAATATACTCCAATAGAATTCCAACGGCAATTCCAATGGATATTTCAATGCTATTATTTCCGTTGGAATTATTCCAACGAAAATTCCAACAAAAATATTCCATTGGAGTGAGTTTTCCATTGGATTTTGACGATTCCAACGGTAGATTTTCCAACGGTGGTGGAAATAAAAATTTCAACGGAAATTGTATATTCCAATGGAAGTTTCTATGGTCAAAAGCCGTTGGAAATATAGCCGTTGGAATCAACAAATTCCATCTAAAATTCCAATGAAAAATACTTTCCAACGGAATATTTTCGTTGGAATATCCGTTGGAATCATTCCAACGGAAGCTATACCATTGGAATATCCGTTGGAATTTCCATTAGAATATATTACCATAAGATTTTCCGTTGGAATATAACAATTTTTTTGTAGTGATACATGGCTATATAAAGCGGCTGAAGGTTAGTTTGATTTGTTATACTTATGTGATTGATGCTGACAGTAGATTATTTAGGCAGATCTAACGGTTGAGAGCTGGTCTCACATACACAATTTAAGGCCCCTTATATATATATATATATCCCCTCTTAATATAATTTGAAAACGTGTTGAGCCTAAATGGCTGCTTCGCACGCTTCGGAAGCTTATTTGGCAACATTACATGCTTCGACTTTTGGTTCGGATACATTCTCTAATTGTTTAAACTAAAATACTTAATAAATAGAAATTTTGCTTAATCCTCCCTCCAACTCCTAAATAAATAGGATTCTTATATGGCGTGTAAATCTTCCAACTCCAAACTAAATAAGATTCTTATCTTATAAAGCTTACTTGCCAACATTACATCTTAGGATTCTTATCTTATATGTCGTGCAAATCAAAATAAAAAATTAGCTTTATATATTATTTTATTTATATAATTAATGTAAATAATAATTTTTTTATATAGTTTAAATAAAAAAAATACTATAATTTTACAAAAAATATATAGCCACTCATATATTATATCTTTTCAATCCAAATAAATTATTTAAGTCGTTTAGAATATCTATAAAAATACATTGAAATAGTGATAGAATATTACATGATCTTTCTAATACAAATAAAATAAATTTTGATGAACACCATGGTAAATAAATTATTTAAATCTTTTTAAAATATCTATACAAATACATTGAAATAGTTATAGAATATTACATGATCTTTCTAATATATTTTAAAGAGTTGAAATAGTTATACAACATGTGTTTTTTCTATTATTTTATGTTTTATATTTTTTTTTTTCAAACAACCCGTGTAGTACACGGGTGTCATACTAGTATATATATATATATATATGTATATATATATATATCTCTTATCTATATATGAAGAAGTTAAGCCTCTTCTATGAGTGACACATGTCCAATTTTGTGTTCTTAAAAAACTGCCACGTGTCCAATTTTATTTACAATTTGAGCTACTTTGTTTTGCTATTTTGGTTGCACTATTTGCCCATTTCGTGGCTTCCAATACAATTCATTGGTGAATAGTGAATTTAATTTCTGTGTACCTTTTGCCAGAATTCCGGGTCAACACAATCCCTTTCTCGCACAATTCTCGCACACGCAAGTTGGATGGAGACGGGAGCAGGTAAAATCCCTCTTACAAACCCTACCCAACCAAATTACTCTCATTTACAATTCTCAAAAGAACTACAATGACGACGCGGATGATGACACTACCAGTCCACCGACTCAGCCAGCTCCGGCAACGGCTTTATCAAGGGTTTCTTCGCCTTCTCCCGCCGAGAATTGAGCCCTAGGGCCTCCGACACCTCCTCGGAGCTCCACCCGCCCTTTTGGAGCACATCGGAGAACCGATCCGCTTTCAGCGGCAGGGCGTCCATTATCATCTGGTTGTCGACCATCACCATCCCGCTATCAAATAAACCCGACACCAGCACCCCAGATTCCGACCATCCGCCCTCCCTCTGAACCGGCCCAATTCCGGTCACGTAGCCGTCAGACCCACGCAGGCACCTCGGATGTCAGCATGTCGATGTGCTTCTCTGGTGAGGACGAGGACGAATTTTAATTCCTACGCCAGACTGTTGTGTCGTTGCTCAAGATTCATGAAGAAGAATCCGATTGGGAAGGTGAGAACAAATCGCTTTGCAGTATTGTTCTTTTGAGTTCATGCTGTTTTTTCGCTGCTTCATTTATTTTGAGATTTCTCTCATTAGATTCTCTTGCCTGAAAAACCCGATTACTGTGTTTTCGAGAGCAATTGCGTGTTTATATAATTGTTGTGGTGGAATATTTAGGTTCATATTATTCATATGATGAATAAATTGATGTTCTAGGTGATGGAATTTTAGTTCAAACGTAGTTTGAGATACTTTAGAATTCTGCACAGAGTTGATAGATCTCTTTTATTTTTATGGTTGCTTTGTTTTTCCTTGGCAACATATGGAGTTTTGTTTACTGTGCCCTGCTCTAAATGCATTCCATCCCTTTGTTTCCCTACTTGCCATATTTGACTCAGACAAATTAAAATGAAGAACTAAAAAAGATATGAGGGAAAGAAGAGGTTTGTTGTACATCCCCAGTTTTACTTGATATGAAAGTCAAAACTATTTTCTTCCTGCAGGTATATCTATGGAGGGTGATGACATACTTTTGGTGGAAATGTCTCACCAAAGAGAGATGAATATGGATGACCACATTACCTCCTGAAAAAAAGGTAACCTAACTCCTTATTCTTTTCTCTACCCGTTTTTTCTTTCTGTTTCAACTTTTATACCTATCATTTTCCTGTACACTTGCATATTACTTATATGTATGGCGATGTGTTTCTTATTGAGTGGCAAAGAACGAGTATCCACTGATATCTATTGTGGTTAATTACCTGATGCAGATCTGTGACTGGTGTCCTGTATGCAAAAGAAAAGAGAGTGAACTGTGATTTGTATTGATATTTTTTCAAAATAGACGTCAAATGTAACAACCATGTGTCTTGTTCCTTCTTAACTGCCTGAACAGACAATAATCCTTATCAATTCTGGAGATTATGGTTTCCTGCACTTTTGTGATGCCGTTCTTTTTCTTTTTTCCTTCTTTTTGTTTTTAGCTTGTACTATGTGCAGCCTGGTATATCCATGCACTCCACGAGAACATTTAGTAAGAGCTCAAAAGAAGGACGTAGTGATACCAGTGCTTGGACTGACACGGCTTTAGAATGAGCTCAGAAGGCAAAGATGAAGTATGTCATAAACTACATAACTAACCCCTACACTTAACATAATAAAAAATAAATAATCAATGCTTAAAAGTTATGAAATGCTCTGTTATGGTATAACAACTACCTTCCTGATGATTGTAGTCACATTTATGAACAAATATCAGTAGGGTCATTTTTAATTTTATTATATATTTTTGGCTGGACCTTGTATTTTGTGGCCAGTTATTTAGAAGCGTACAATGAGGCCACAACACTTGCTTCAAACGAACAGGGGAAGAAAAAATCGAACCCCGATGCGGAACTGGTCTCCGATGGTGATTTTCTTTAACCCAGTTCTTCAGCTGCATCTAGATCTGGTCGGCGTAACTCAGCTTTTAGGTTCTATCCATGAAATGCTACGAAACTTGCTCTATAATATCACATTTGTGATGCATTTCTTTATCACTGAGTTTTTTTGTTGGGCTTTTCTAGCAAATATCTACATTCATGCTTTATCTCAATAAATTTGACTTATTCAAAAAGAAGTTTCTAAAAATAAGGAGTTAGAAGAATGTCGCATGTTAGACCTAAGAGGACACTTGTATGAGATTGGATTACAATTCATTTTATATATTATTTTTTTTATATTAAACTCCTCTGAATGTATGTGATATGTTCAAAGATTATCATCCAGTATCTAATTAATACCAAGAAACTGAGAGTGCATATAAGTAAATGGTTTTCTTGCGTCTTCTGGAAGTTGTAGAATACGCTTGCTTTAGGTATTATAGTCTTATAGCTTCTATGTATCTTCTCGTGAGTGTTATTTATAATTTTTTGTTCTCAGTTTCTATATGAATCTGTGACTCTGTGTAACTGTGTCCAATTTATATCCTTTTTTTTTTGTTATTGCTAATATATGTGTTTTAATTACATACGTATCAGACATGAAAGAAGCTGAGGTTTAATTCTCTTCAAATGGGTTGTTCGATTTTGATTTTGTGTGTAAAATCTGTCAACTTTCATTTGGTGTTAGTTGGATACTTCATAGTATAGATTGGTTGCGATGATTAAGTTAACTATTTCTGTAATTGTATAATAGCTATAGTTTGTTTTTTGTTGTAGACCTAAAAGAGCAGTTCTTGGAAGATTCACAACTAGATTTTCATTTAGTGACAGACGGTTGGCTTTTCATTCTTTTGTTCTTTTTCGTGTGTGATTTTTTTCGAGAGTTGAAAAGCTGCGGTCATTCACGAGGTATGCATTTCTTATTGTCTTTCAATAATGTCCAGTAAATTTCTTTTTTTGTGTGTGTGTGTGTGTGTGTGTGTGAAAACATCGATCTTTGCGTGAGGTCGCTAACAGTTGTTCTTAAGCATGACTTGGGATTTATATATTGATATCTAAGTTTGGTTTTATTTTATTTTTTTTATTTTTTTGTTCTTGTACTTTTGGGCAATGTTCTTTCTCTTGCAGGACCGTGAAAGTTGAAAGATAACTTATACCAGATTTTAATATGCCTATGAATTTTAATAATTTTTACTGTATTCACATCACGGCCCATCTAAAACTTGAAAAGCAGCCAAGGCTTATATATGAAATAAAAGGAATTTTTTTATCTCATAAACGAATTTTCTTACAAAGTTGCTGGCTTGGCGGAAAATTTTCCGTCAGACAGTTTGATGCAAGTTTTGCTCATAAATTATAATTACAATCTATACAACAACATAACTTCTTTTCCTTTTTCCTTTTATCACCATCCTCCCCAGTTTTGATGGCTTAATTTACTTTTATTACCGGTCCTTAGTGCTTGTGATTCAACAAACAGCTAATTACTTTCCATGTACATTTGCAGGTTAAAGCTTTTCTTAGGGGAGATTCTCTTCCATTCTCGGTCGGACTGTTCGAGGGTATAGCAGCCTAGGTGAACATGTACACACTCAGTGTAATAATATGAGGATCTTGAAACAATGTCAAGTTAACATACATAATAATGTAAAGGGTTGCAACAACTGCCTAAAAAGCTGTGTAATGAGGTCTTTGTGGTGAAAAATTATTTTGTGAACAAACAGTGTTGAAAAGAATACAACTTTTTATAAAACCTTTTTGTAATCATTTTGTCGGGCTTTAGAAAGCTCTTGTTAGTTGTGGTGAAAATTGGAGACTTTATGTGTACTCAGTTGAAGATTTCAAATTTTGTTCAAATTTATTTCACATAAACTTTATTTGTATCAAATTTAGTAACAATGTTTAAAACATATATATAAATTAGACTAATCATTTCAAGAGACGACAAATTTTCATTATATTTTAGACCAAAATATGACCTGCAACAAGTGATGACAAATTTTTAGTGTATTTTTAGACTGAATTTGAGTCCGCCGTGCGTGCACGGCGTCTTACATATAAGAAAAAGTGTGAGTGTTTTTGGGCCTGACACACGTAATTTTTGTTCAAGCATAAATGTCCTCCAATTTCAGCTATTTTTACGAGTGTTGCCACTGCATTGAGCGTCAAATTACTGGACTGTCCTTTGAAGACACTTTTGTTTGCTTTTTAAGTGATGGAGGCCGAATTTTTGGGACTGACAACTTTTTCTCCGCACGAAAGCTAATGTGACAGCCTTTTTATCTGCTTCACGCAAGTTTGGGATTGATTTTCTCTCAATCAAGCAAGTTACAGCTTTGTGTACATTTCTTTTCTCTGCCCCAATTTCGGCTCTCTTTCTCTTGCCCGGCGCACTCAAATCATCGGCGGTCATACCTTCTCGCCACAGCTATCACACAATCCAAGCATGATGTGGTCGCCCCGGAGGTTTGGGGTGTGCCGACCCGTGGTAGCCACAGCTCGGTGGCCGTTGGAGGTAGGCTGTATGCGTTTGGTGGAGACTCGGGATATAAGTACCAAGGGGATGTTTGGATGCTCGATGTCGATAATTTAGTTCCTAATTTAGTTCCTAATGTTTGGATGCTCGTGATGTCGCAAGCGAAGGACATCGGGGAGAAGGATCGGGCGTGAAGATGTACATGAGCGACTGCCCCTTTGACGACAACGACGAGGATGACAGGGTAGGAAAAGGGTATTTGGAGTTCATTTTCCAGAGAAACGTATTTCGTTTCGAGCGTCAAGGTGGGTTGCTTTGTTTCAGGTAATAAAAACATTGATAAACATATTTTTTATTCATTTTTCGATTTGCGTCTTCTTGGACTGGGGGCATGGTCGTGATTAAAGATTTCATTTTTATGTTTGAAAAAATTGGGATTTAAGCCATGAAATGAGAAATTATTGTTACCGTTCTTTTGTTTTCTTTGTGGGGGCTAAACGACACTCATGATCTAATCGAGTGACACAATATGCTATGATTTAGGACAAGAAAGGTAAATTATTTGGTTCGTTTGTTTTTTTTTTTACCTAATCGACCAAGTTTCAGCTCATTTCATGTTTATTTGGCAAATGCAAAAGAAAAAACAAGACAGATTGAATTTTTAATTGGTGTTCTTGAGTAAATTTTTGTGGATTTATTCAACATTTCCGTTTCAGGGATAGCGTTCGATCTTTGCCGAAAAACAGATCGAAGATGGTCGAACCCTTGCGGATTAACAGTTTAATGGATCATGATCTTTGCTTTTGTATCTTTTTCAAGGTATATAGATATAGATTAACATTTGATCATGGATTTTGTATGATTTGTACATTTGATTGAGCTTCCAATCTCAAGTTTTCTGTATGTTGGATTGTTACGGTTTATGCTACTATTTTCAATCATTCTCTTGACAGGGACGACCACCAAACCCACAACAGAAACAACGGCAGCATGCACGAAACCCATAGCCTGGCTCGCACCAACAAAAATTTCGTCGGGGGGCTCCTGTCCACAATCACTGAAAGCAACATGAAGAATTATTTCGGCCAATTGGGAACCATAACTGATGTGGTCATGATGTACTCCCACAACATGCGAAGGCCCAGAGGTTTCGGGTTCATAATGTATGATTCGGAGGCACCAGTGAATAGAGTATTGGTGAGAACATTTCACGAGCTCAACTATAAAATGTTCGAGCTCGACGGGCGGGCTTTTCAACTGTTATTATCCGGGCTACAATAGTTTGAATTCAGCTGGTGGATACGGGATGAGAATAGATGGCCATTTTAACACTATTGGTCGGGTACGGGTATCCACCGTACAACCCTGGAAATCATAGTGTGGGGTCGAGTTTGGAGACTGGATGGGGTAACTGAGATTTTGTATTCAAATAATACACCGTTATTTCACTAGAAATATATTTATCTTTTACATTGTATCGTCCCATGTCATATGAATCTATACGGGCATCATCTTCTATCTTACAAACCTATAAATACCCTTTCCATTATAGGATTTTATTGTTTTCTAGACAAGATAATGGTGGGGTGTCTAGATGGAGTGCATCATATGCTATCTGCTTTAGTAAATTGTTGTGAGTCTGATATTAACAAGCAACCTGGGGCCTGGGCTTTCAATTTCTTTTCTCATGTTTCTCTTAAAATAAAGATTGCATCTTCACATCATGGTTAGGTTTCTCACTTAGAAGGGAGTTTGTCCAGTTCAACCCTCAATCCCTCCACATTCCAATATCACTCTTTCTTCCATTTTCCTGTTACATAAATAAATAAATTAGCTCCTTTGTTAAGTTGCTTAATTAAATTGTTGGTATATCAATCTTGTGTAGTTTAGATTTGGAATTTTCGGGTTTAGTAGAGAATAAGTATGATCTTTCTCTGGGAAGGGTCGGATGAGGGTTCCTCCCCACGGACCTCTGTATCGGACAACAGAAACGCGAATCAGACCTCTGATTCAATGCTGTGAGTATCTGGACGTTCCGTGAGGGGATGTGTATTTGACTATTAGGCGCTAACTTTTTATTTTAAAATTTGATATTTATTAGTTTTCTTCTATGGCTACAGGTTTCGAAAGGACTTGTTGAGACTCAGGAGAATACATCTGAGGTTCTTTCTCCTTTTCCACTTGATCACGTGCGGTACTTAATTCAGTATCTTATTTTGCTTGGGTTGGTCATATTTAGAGTTTACTAATATTCTCACCTTTTCCCAGTTTCTGTACATCTATGCATTTGGAGGATCACAGGGATCACTGTATAAATTTCATTGATTCAATGTCTATTTCTTCCTCTTAAACTAGGAGAGCATAATAGAATTTGAAAATTTTACTTGATGTTGAGTGTTCGTCTCATTGGAAAATGATGAATCTGCAGGGTTAATTTGGACTTAGGGCAGGGCATGTGAGAAAATTGCCTAATTGGAAAATATAGTCTTTATGTAGATTTAGAAGTTATTTGAATATATTCTGCCTAATTGGAATACATAGTGTTTATGTGGATGTAGAAGTTATTTGAATAAATTCTAATTTAAGGCATGATGGATACATCCATCGCTTTGTTGAATGATAGACGTAAATTTCGAGTAGGATTAGATAAAAGCAACTGCCTCTTGATGCTTTTTGTATAGGATGCCCATGAAAGGGGCCAACCTGTAACGGGCGACCTGTTTTTTAGGAGACGCGAGAGCTTCGACATGGGGCCCATGACCTTTGCGAGGGATGCCACGAGCATGATGCCCTGCTTTAATTGGTAAATGTTTTTTTGGTCTTGTTTCGGGTTCCATTGATGGTTTAATCGTGTTTTATGCAGTGATCATGTTGCAGATAGAATTGTGGTGATGTAATTTGTGTAGTAGGACGTGGTTTTCTTCAAGTTGTGTTGCTTCTTTATACCAACAGTTTTCTATTGTTCCGGTACACATTATTATCAAATTGTCTGAATGTGTTTAATTTGTTCGGATTGTAATTGCGGAAGTCTGATTTTGTGCATAAATATATATGTTTAAAAACCCTGTTCATAGTAGTTGATATGTGGGTACGTCGGTAGACTCAGTACTCAGTAGTAATGCAACAGTTTTAATATGACACTTTGAATAACATGATGATCAGAATAGTTCAAAATTTAATTGTAAAAACAATCAAGCAAGCAAATATCAACATTTGCTTATGACCTTTGGAGGTACGTGATTATTTCTGAAATATTGGCCTTTTTGTGTTGAAATTGTTGTTATTACTACTGATGATGTTTTGTTATTTTGCTATGGGATAGCTGCAGTTTGTATTTATTGAGAAATGCAAATTTATCACAAAGTAGAGTTTAGTAGTTTGTATTTATTGAGAAATGCAAAATTGTGTGTGTGTGTGTGTGTGTGTTTGTGGTTCTTATGTATAACTTAATTTATTGTCTTATGTTAAAAAATGTGTTTGTATATGTTACTATGAGTGTTGAGCTTTTATGAAAGTCTTCGTTCATGTCTTTAAAGAAGAGGAATTCAGAAGGCAAGCAGGGAATAATAACAATAATATGAGAAAGGATCTTGAGACAATGTCAAATTAACAAGCATAATATATGTAAAGAGCTGAAACAACTGCCCAAAAAGATGTGTAGTGAGGCTTTATGGTGAAAGCTTATTTTGTTAGCTAAGTAGGGTAAAAATTGGAGACTTTATGTGTACTTAGCGGAAGCTTTCATTCAAAAAATGAGACGTTAAAATACATTATATAAAATTAATGCATAGAGGATTTTATAGGTGCAACAAGTATTAAACCATTATAACCACCACACCCAAAAAAAATAATAATAATTATTAGCAGGAAATATGTTTGATTGATAATATTATGTGCCTGTAAAATCTCAACAGTCATATGGTTAGTGAACAAAATTCACATCAATTGTCAAAACAACATTTAAACCCAAAGTATTTTATAAAAATGGCCCAATCAGTTATGGAACCCAAATTATTTTAAAAATGGCCCAATCAATTATGGATGTGCTGGACATGAATATACAACTTTGTCGTGCTTTTTGGCTGCATTGTTAAGTAGATATTAATCTTTTGTTTTTTAACGCGTTTTCTCAAATATTGTGTTCCAACAATAAAATTTTATTCACGCTTTTATAAATTAGTAGATATCTCATTATATTATTGCTTTGTTTAGTTCCTTATGCATTGTTGTTAAGTTATTTGAAGCTAGATTTATAAATGCCATAAAAGGTGGATATGTGTATTTTTTTATTTTGCCAAATATTAGTAATAATTATAAATTGGACTCGAGGCGGCTGTGCGTGCACAACCACTGGTCAACTAGTATATATATATATATATGAGGACACCTCTTAACCATTGATTTTGTGTTGATCAATGGCTCAGATTAAGTAATTGGAATACTTATACACCTATGTTGAAATAAATATGTATCTAGTTGGTTACAATAAATATGTCTCTCGTGTATAGTGTTTTTGCATCATTGTTCCAATAACCATGCAACATTTTTACATTAACTGTGCAACACTTTATCACTAACTATGCAACATCGTTTTTGCATTATTGTTTCAATAACCATGCAACATCGTTACACTAACTATACATCATTTTTACACTAACTTTGCAACACTTTATCGCTAACTATGCAACATATTTTTTACATAATTGTTTCAATAACCATGCAACATTTTACACTAACTATGCAACACTTTATCACTAACTATACATCAGTTTTACACTAACATTGCAACACTTTTTATCACTAACTATGCAACATCTTTTTGTATCATTGTTTCAATAACAATGCAACATTTTGACACTAACTGTGCAACACTTATCACTAATTATGCATCTGTTTTGTTTCAATAACTTTGCAACATATTTACACTAACTTTGCATCACTTTTTCTCTAACTTGCAACATCGTTACACTAACTGTGCAACACTTTATCACTAACTATGCATCATTTTTACATTAACTTTGCAACACTTTATCACTAACTATGTAACATATTTTTTACATCATTGTTTCAATAACCATGCAACATTTGTACACTAACCATGCAACAATCACTAACTATGCATCATTTTTACACTAACATTGCAACACTTTTTATCACTAACTATGCAACATCTTTTTGCGTCATTGTTTCAATAACCATGCAACATTTTGACACTAACTGTGCAACACTTTATCACTAATTATGCATCTGTTTTGTTTCAATAACTTTGCAATATATTTACACTAACTTTGTCTCACCATATTTACTTCATACACAATACATATTATGGTCGACGGATCAACACTAGAAGTCAACAATCAACGCCGGAAGTCAACGATTTTCGCTGGAAGTCAACAGTAAACGCCGGAGTCAACGGTCAACGGTCAATGGTCAAAATAATATTTAAATAACTAAAATAAAATAAAAAAATTATTATTTAAATAAAGAGTTAAATCTTGGCCACACATCTTGATACCCTTTTAGTGGCTAGGATTGAGTCCCATGTCCTCATTTTAAGAATGTGTCCTCATTGAAACCAATCCCTACATATATATATATATATAATATATATATATATATATATATATATATATATATATATGTCAAATATATGTGTTTGTAGACATGTTTTCCTTACAAAATAATTTAGAAAAATTTGAGATGACTTTAAATTTGGTAAGAAAAATATAAGAATATTTTAGATACTTTTATGTATGTTATATAATGTTTTAGGTGTTTAAGTATTTTAAACATACATGTTTTGTGTTATTTTATACAAATAAAATTATATTGTTTACAACAAAACGATATACAGACTCCTTTCAAGGTTAGCCCTATCAAGCTCAAGTAAAGTCATATCATTTTAAAAGTGAAGTCATAAAGGAATTCGTGAAAAATCAAATTATATCACATGTTAACCCTACATTTTTACTTTATAATTATTAGTTAACATTGTTTACATACATCTATACTTATATAATAAGAATTAACATTTATCCAAAATAGTAGGTCAAATTATGGTCAATGTCGGATTTGCATTAAATATTTTCCAAAACTGGTAAGTTTTTGTCCTTTTCACACTTCTCATTAATTATGTCTTTTTCACACTGCTCATTAATTATGTCCTTTTCACACTTCTCATTAATTATGTCATTTTCACACATCTAATTAATTCATTAATTACGACATAATTATCATAAATCATTCCATCTGAGCTTTTATCGTTAAAATGTATAGCGATCTGTTATGATCTTATCCCATTGATATTTCTATGAAACGTTATTATCGCGTTCTTTTTTTTGGTAACCACTCTATATCAATTACCGGATATTTGGTTAATGATAGCACACGTCTCTATTTCAAGGAGCGGATATTCTTTGACCTTTAATTAATTTGAACTGATTGCCTTGACTTTTCAATTTTTAAAAACTCTTTATTTAAATATTTCGACCTAAGATTCGGATTTCATTATACAAGTCATCGGATTGTTTGAATGAAAATGAATGAAAAGAACACCAAAAACAAGTAGCCTTATTCATATAACCAATCCTAAAATATTACTCCCTCCGTTTATTATTAAATGTCGTTTTAATTTAAAACTTCTAAATTACGATTTTAATGGGTTGTGTAATAATCTTATTTTTTAATCTTATTAAATTTAGTTTTTGAATTATTAATGGGTGGTTTTTAAAGATAATGATAAGAGATAATGTTTGTTAAAGAGAATAAAGATGTAAGAATGAATATAATATTTCCAACGACAATTAATTTGCAAAAAAGTTAACACCCTACAACGACATTTAAAACGAAACAGAGGGAGTAGTTTATTTACCAAAAAGAGACAAATCTTAGAAATCCTAAAATATTAGTTTGTTCACCAATCCTAAAATATTAGTTTGTTCACCAAAAATATTAGTTTGATTTTTAGGATTTGTCTCTTTTGAAAATATTAGTTTGTGATAATGAGGAGTTACCAAATAATCAAACTCATAATGTTGTCTACAAGGAGGTTTTTAATAATATATGATTGTTACCGAAATTTTTATGATTCAACAATGTTCCTATGTATTTTAATGATTTCAATTTCGATCCTAATGCACGTGGGGTTATATTATTCTTCCAAATTTTACATTCCGTGCATCGCACGAGTTACGTACTAGTCCTTAATTTATATATACTATTTAATATTGTTACCCCTGCATCATCACACGCTATACTAATATATATAAAAATATAAAAACAAAACAAAGTATACATATAAAAAAGCCCCACACATATGTGAAAATAAGTAAATAGAAAAAAAAAAAAAGCATGTAGCCACATCTGACTATACATCTTCTATCTACGTTGGATATAAAAGATATGAATCTGGAACGCAACTCAACTCCAGCGATAAATATGGATCTTGAGCAGGGTTGGAGAAACTGTAATAGCATCTCCAATATTGAAGAGTTTATGCCGCATGGTAGTCAACAATTGGATTGTGAATCCACCTAAAACAGTTGTTCACATAATAAATCATAAAATATTAATTTTTTTTAAGAAATAATAAAATTATAAATACTTGCTTTCATCTACAAAAAAAATTAATAATAAAATTGGGAGAAAGATAAGAAAATACTAAGGATATGAGCCCAAGAATTTAAGTTCTATCCATAAATGTTCTGATTGCCAACTCACCAGAATGAAGTCGGGTAAAACTAAGTGGAGCTCTGAAACAATGATTTTTAATATTTTCTACTAAGTAATCGAGTACCCTGATGATTTTTTATCTTTTACTAGGTAACTAGTACTCTTGTGCATGAACATAAATAGGTTTATTCTTTGTTAACTTGAAGGGTGGTACTATTTACCGCCCCCATTTTACTAATCACCGTTCCTCTTGGACGATTTTGTCCTTTTTAT